TTTTTTTAGCAATTGTCAGTATCTAGGACAGTTGGAGTAGGTGTTATTGCAGGATTAAACAGAAATGGACGATTCTAATCTACCAGGATGAAATAGAATTTTTGCTTGAGGGGGATCTGCAGAATGAAGTGATTGATAGTTGCCTGTGCTAGAGACTCCTACTCTATACTGATGTTCCTTTGAGTAATAATTTCACAAATTGTCTCTCTGACGTTTCTTTCATGACCTTAAATCAATAAATTGAGAAAACATCTGCTAATTTTGCTGTCTCTCAGTTCAAATTTTACTTTGATAAGATGATTTTTCAGTTAAATTGCATCTCTTCTTCGAGCAGACATCTTAGATGGCTTGGAAAAGAAAGACTTCTAGTAATTTCACTTAAATTAAACAGATGCAATTATCCTCTTTTCTTTCAAATTAAACTGCTCCTGCAAATAATATTGACTGAGTGTGTGGATTAGGCTGTTTTTAATAATAGAAACAAGACTGGCCTTTTTCTCAAATATGTATGACTTTGAGTATCTATTGAATACTGAGTTTCTCTCTAGATATGTGCTTCTAAGTTTCTGGTGTTCATACACGTGATTAGGTGCAATTCACTCTCTAACTAGTAATTAAAGTCAAAACCATTGATGAATCAGAAATTAGGTAATAAGCCACTCTGATAGAATTGACCGAAGCAGGTTGTATGTGAATCAGAAATTAGGTAATAAGCCACTATAATAGAATTGACTGAAGCAGGTTGTATATATGTAGCTGTAAAACAGGTAGCATGTTTTCACTGTACTCAGTTGAAGCAAAACTAATGTACTCTAAACCTTTGAACCTTTCTTGCCAACAGGGTCAAGCATCTTATCTTAGTGGAGCCATGGGGTTTTCCAGAGAGGCCTGACAATGCTGAACATGAAAGACCAATTCCAATCTGGATCAAAGCACTAGGAGCTATATTGAGTCCATTTAATCCATTAGCTGGGTTAAGAATAGCAGGACCTTTTGGTGAGTTTTAGATACTCTTAAATACCGTTTCTATTTTGGTTAAACATAAACATGGGGCAGACAGCACATTTGATAAGCTTTTTGGCAAGTCCATGTCACCCACAGAGGAAAGAGTTGGTGAGAAAGTGGGAGTGATTGAGGAAAGGTTGAACTCTTTAGGACAAGAGGGCAAGCTCTTTCTATTAGAAATGCTAGTACGATGGTTTGGAGCAAGCTGCAATACATGATTATAGGCTACAGTTACAGTGAGTCGGATTATGTGGACATCTGTTGGGGAAGCCTGACAAAATGGGATTTCTGAATTCCATTAACATTAGAACCCAGTCTCTCATAAACACAGTTGTCTTTGGCCTGAGTTTGGAGAAGTTAAATTGAAACTGGCTTCTTTCCATTAGCCTTTTTCGTATTATTCTAGCAAGTCTTGTGTGTCTCATTGGTGTCCTGCATTACAGTGGCAGTTATCCTTCATATTTCTATGTTTCTTCAGCAGCACTGATGAGGTGTTAGATAAACTCTGTGTACTCTAATACTAGGACTAGGTAGGGTTTTATCTAGGGAGTGCCAAGAAGGGCATAATAAAATCTTAGTCATCATATGTGTTCCTTCTAGAGGAGAAGGAGGTTATTTGTCTGTTACTCTTCTGTGCTACAGAAGTATCTGCTGGAGAGGCTTGGAAAAAGGTATCCTTCAGGCCTCTCACAAGTTATAATTAACTCACCTCTTCATCATTTTTAGCAGTCTGAAGATAAACTAGTGAGTTTTTTAGGCTTTGTTTACATTTAAACCACATCTGTTTCCTAAATCTCTTTCTATAGAATATATATTTTAATATGCTGATCTGTTCATTTCTTTTCAGGAGTGTGACAAAATTAGCTTGTCAGGCAAGCAACATGTTTTGAACAAACAGATTAATATTTTTAAAAGTAAAATGCTACTGCAGTGAACATAACAACCTGACTGAGTGATACTGAGTGATAAGCACTGATTTAATGCGTTATATCCAATAACAATGCATAAATCAATCCATGTGGAACAGTTTAAAGCTGAAGCTGTCTCCCTTAGCAGTGCAGTCAAAACCATGCAGCAGAAACAGAAATGTGGCAAGATGTTCCCAAACCTAGCCTCACTTATAGGCTGCTGTGGGAGGCAGTGCTATGCGTAAAATTTTTCTTCTATTTCTTACTGCACATAATAAAAACGTGGCAAGATGTTCCCAAACCTAGCCTCACTTATAGGTTGCTGTGGGAGGCAGTGCTATGTGTAAAATTTTTCTTCTGTTTCTTACTGCACATAATAATGTTTTGCAACATCAACTTAATCTGAAGTTCTTAGAGTAGGGTAGGTGTAAACACTGTGCTTCGAGGTAGGCATCAGGCCCAGCCAGATGAAGGTACTCAACCAAACCCAGGGTTCCCAAACCTAGCCTCACTTATAGGTTGCTGTGGGAGGCAGTGCTATGTGTAAAATTTTTCTTCTGTTTCTTACTGCACATAATAATGTTTTGCAACATCAACTTAATCTGAAGTTCTTAGAGTAGGGTAGGTGTAAACACTGTGCTTCGAGGTAGGCATCAGGCCCAGCCAGATGAAGGTACTCAACCAAACCCAGGTTTCCTTCTACATGCAAATGTGCTTAAGCTGCTGGGCAAGTATAGTTGTTTAAACCTCACTATAAAGCCAATTGCTCTTGTTCAAAGGTTTGAGTTAAGCACTTAAAGCTGAGCCAAGTTCATTGGGATATCACAATGGTATCACATGGATACTTGATCAGACCCACAGGTGAATACTTAAACCTGGGAGAGAGACAGAAACTAGAGAACCTTTGAGTGGTTTCCAGTTAGTTGATTTGCATACTTTCCTTCACACTGGAACAGTCAACCAGGAGTCTCAAAGTATAGGGTGTTTGGTGCTTAGATTGGATTTGTGAATTCCATTCCTAGATCTGGACGCCTAAAAATGCCTCAGGACAACAGAAATGTCACCATGACCTTTTCGTGAAACTTGAAGTCTTCAGCGTTAGTATTTCATATAGCATTTTCATAGACACTATGGAAAACGTCAGCCAGACTGTTGAGAGTGTCTTCAGTAAACATTACAAGAATGAACCAGTGTGATATCATTCCAAAATTTGTTCCAGGGTGCCTTGAATCCTTGTTTCATTCTCCCCTGTAAATTCCCAGGGAAGGAAACTGTTTTGCAATTGGACAAACAGAAAAAGCACTTCTTATCAAAATGCAAAGTGATTTCTAAAATTTGGTAACATTTCATGCCATGGCCTCTATGCTGATAGCAGGGGAAAACACAGAATTAGTCTCTTTCTTCCAAGTAGTCTTATTCCAAGCCAGCTGTATCATTTGTGTTGAAAAACACACAGACACACACATAGCAAAAGACAGAAGTCCAGCAATTGAACTCTCTCGAGGAAGAATAGAGCAGCACGAATTGCAGGGCATTTACAAGCTATTCATTGCTTTGGAAGTTAAATCACTGTTTCATAAGGGAATTATTTTTCTCTTGCACTGTATTAGTTTTCTTAACCTGTTTAAAGCATGCATAAGGGTGTGTTGCAATAGTCTAGTCTCAAGGTTACAAAAGCATAGATCACTGTGACAAGGTCTACATAAATAGTACTAGGCCTTTGGCCAGGGGTGGATGGTAAGAAGTGACATCATTATAATTGCACAGAATAACAACAGTTTGAAGTTCCTACAGTCTGGAAAGGGAAAGTATAACCATCAATGGTCATACTCAGAGTTGTGGACAACAGCTCAATGTCCAAGTGGAGATTAGTGGTGTTCCTCAGGGATCAGTGTTTGGATCAGCAATGTTTAGCATCTTTGTCAGTAACATGGGCAGGGGGGTTAAAGTGCATCCTCAACAAGCTTGCCAATGGCACCAAGCTGTGCAGTGCAGTCGACATGCTGGAGGGAAAGGATGTCATCCAGAGGGACCTGGACATGCTTGAGAGGTGGGCCCGTGTCAAACTCTTGAAGTTCAGCAAGGTCAGGTGCAAGGGTCAGGACAATTTCAAGCACCCATACAGGCTGGACAGAGACTGGATTGAGAGCAACCCTGAGGAGAAAGACCTGGGCATGTTAGTTGATGAGAAGCTCAAAATGACCGAGCAATGTGTGCTCACAGTCCATAAAGCCAACCGCATCCTGGGCTGCATCAAAACAGTCACGGCCAGCAGGTCAAGGGAGGTGATTCTCCCCCTCTGCTCCTCCCTTGTGAGGCCCCACCTGGTGTACTGTGGCTAGCTCTGGGGCCCGCAACATAAGAAGGATGCGGACCTGCTGGAGCAAGGCTAGAGGAGGGACATGAAGATGATCAGAGGACTGGAGCCCCTCCCCTATGAAGACAGGCTGAGAGTTGTGGTTGTTCTGTCTGTAGAAGAGAAGGCTTTGGGGAGACCTTGTAGGAGCCTTCCAGTACCTAAAGAGGGCCTACAAGCTGGAGAGGGACTCTTTGCAAGAGCGTGTAGTGATAAGACAAGCAGTAATGGCTTCAAACTACAAGAGGGAATGTTTAGATCAGATATTAGGGATGAATAAGATTCTTAGACTAAGATTAGCCTTGTGGTGAGGCTCTTGTCGCAAAGATCCATCTGGTCAACTAGAAGAGGCTTCTTCCTTAAAGAAGTAATTCAGAAAAGAAGCTTAAGTTTAGAGGGCCTGAATTGGCCCATCAAAGGACCCACTTCTCTACTTTGGCTGTTAAGAGAGCATAGGGACAATAGTTTTCAACATTAAATCTTTCAGTTTATACCAGTACTTGTGTCTTATGTCGAGATTTCTGGTTTTCATCATAAACTTTTGTTCTTTCAACTAAACACTAGTTAGATGAACTAGATGCTAAAGTAGACTGTTCTGTAAAAGGAGAGGACAGACTGAAGGAATAGAGCCCAGCTTTTCCAACAGTGCCTTCTGGTTCTGAAAGGTGTGATGCATTTGGCCCACACAGTGCTGTCAGAACAAGGAGAAGGTGTTGGTATCGTGTGAGGCTAACCTGGTGACATAAAGATACTCTGCTTAGCCCTTTTGCTGGTCCCCTTTGTAGGTTTCTTCTGTTGCTGCAGTGACCTTTCTCAGACATTCCCTGTATGTATTCAGGAGAGATTTAATTGCCCCTTTTCTGGGGCTGCATAAAGTCCTTTAGAGTATTTATATTTCATTCCTATTTGCTGTAATGCCACTACACATTTCCTTTCCTTGCATGTCTTTTCCTAAAATGTGCAAGTGGTAAAACAAAATACTGATTTAGAAGTCATCAGGCTCAGCCACGAGTTTCAAGAGAACATGTTTTGAGGGTTGTAATGAAAAGCATTAGGCAATCCAATAGAGTTGTCTATACTCATTCCTCCTCTAATAGTGTTTTCTGTTTTAACAGGATTAAGCCTTGTTCAGCGTTTAAGACCAGATTTCAAGCGAAAATATTCATCAATGTTTGATGATAACACTGTGGCTGAATATATCTATCACTGCAATGTACAGTCACCAAGGTGAGCATGAGTTTCCCAGTGTATGTTTTGAAGTCTGTCGTTCATTTACTGAGTGCCTACTACTCCCTCCAATGGCCATGGCAGCAGTGTGCATGCCTTATTTTTTTATTTGCTTTTCAATTGTAGCATTTGTTATACTGAAGAAGGAGGTAGCATTGCACTTGTTTTGAATTCCAGAAATTGCTAGATGTAAAAACTATCCTAATTCTATATTTCTTCTTAACCTATGTGTTCATTCTGTAAGAGTTTGGGCACTAATTTTAGTTTCAAAAGTTGTTAATAGTAGTTTAATTTGTAAAGAATTTAAAAAAAAAAACTTTAAAAATAAGGTATTCAATTCTTTTAAGTGTTATCCCTCAGTATTGTAAAAACATGGGCTCCTTCCGTTGAAAATTACATGCAAACTTATATTTTGTAATTGTAAAAAAATGCCAGTCTCATGTACTGCTGCACTCTGTGTTACCAAAGATACTCCTGGTTAGATAAAAGGCAGATTTAATGGAAATTTAATTGGTTTTACCCTTTTGAATTACTTGAAGTGGTGAAACAGCTTTCAAGAACATGACTATTCCTTATGGATGGGCAAAAAGGCCAATGCTGCAACGGATTTCACAAATGGATCAAGACATTCCTATTACTGTGGTCTATGGAGCACGATCATGCATAGATGGCAATTCTGGCAGCACTATCCAGTCTCTGAGACCAAATTCATATGTGAAGACAATTGTAAGTTGACTTTTAAAGCAGTTTTTTGTTTATTGCATGGAATTGTTTAAATCCTATCTATGTGGCTAGGTTGGATGGGCCCCTGAGCAACATGGTCCAGTGGGAGGTGCCCCTGCCCATGGTAGTGAGGTTGGAACTAGATGATCTTTCCAACATAAACCATTCTATGATTCTATATTTTTTATACCAACTGTGGGAGTGCTGGCCCTTCGATTTAGAGCCTGATGTAATAACTTCTGGTCTTTGTAAGAGAGAGAAAACAAGTGTTAGATCGATGTAATAACTTCTGGTCTTTGTAAGAGGGAGAAAACAGGTGTTAGATCAGAGAGAACCTAGACAGAAGTGTTGAATTCCAAGAGTAAGAAGAAAACTCACTGTAGTAGTAGAAGCCAAATTAAATCTTTGAGCAAGGTCATTCTTAATTTTGTTCTACAATGTACTAATACAAGTAGGTTTTGTGGTCATTGTTTTTGTCTGTGTTTTAAACCACAGCAGTCCTAATATCTACATATATGTGTAACATAGGGAGGCTATCTTAAACTTTTCATCTGTCTATTAATGCTTTTATTTCTCTGGTAAGAGAGTGGTTTGTACCTGCTGTTTAGGCTCTTGTAACATCTTTCTTTAAGTCATTAAAAAAATACTTGATGTTATCTTCCTAGCTAATATATTCTTGTTTAAAGATGTGGCATCCTCATTTAAAATGTGTGTATTCACAAGTTGATGTGAATGTGCACACTGCATTTTTTCTTGATTTCTATAAAAACAAGCTCATTCAAAAGTATTCTTCACACATTTTCACATCAGTCAGCTGTGATAATTGAATATGCATATATGTTACAATGCTGTGAGGTGATAAAATGTTTGAACACACCAGCTGCCTCCTTACTGATGTCTAGAACTATCTAGACAGAAGTGTACAATATGTAATGTTGATAGTGTACTACAAGAAGTCATTCAAATAAAATGTTATAACTTGACAGAGCTGACATCAGAGCTGGAACTCAGAGAAAAGACGTTGTTATTGAACTGTTTAGGTGTGTTAAAGAGCAGAAATATGTTTCATAAACGTTGACATCTAGACTGAAAGTGTCACTTAAGTGCTTAACCAGAGAGGGAGTTGTAACAAGAAGTGACTGTTAAAAAGTGTACAATATACTGCTGGGATAAGCATAGACCATTCAGGCAGATTTTTTCCACTCTGGTCAGTGTCTTTTAGAAGGGACTGTGGAAAACTTTATGGTATTACAGGTTAAAATTTTGTCAAGCCAAGTACATATTCCAAAAGGTAAACTGGAATGGTAAAAATTGCAGGGACACTGGTAAAAACACAGGAGGGAAAGGTCTCTAATGAGGCTGAGACAGGGACTGGCAGTGTCATGCTTTGTAAAATACACAGAGGTTCTGGGTTTTTATTATGTGTGTTTGTTTCTAATTCATTTTTACTTTAGCTTCTTGGGAAGTTTTAACACAATAACATAATTAAATCCTTAATTGTGTTACATACTTGCTGTGAAATAATCTAGGTCACAAACGTGGGGTTTTCTCCCCATATATTGTATTTGGATTTTACTTGTCTCTGTTTAACATAGTAATTGTTAATTTGGAGGGTTGAAATCTACTTCCATAAGTCTAGAAAGTCCCCAGTAATTTAAGCTTCTGAGTTCTTAATCATTTATTCTAGTACCTTTAGTCTCTTCCATATCACTTTTATAGTAAGAAAATCCAAATGACTTGATGTTCTCTCTAATGCAAACACTTGCAGGATTAGTGAGCAACCTGGCAGAACTATTTGGGTGGAGAGTTAAGGCAATAAAGATGCATCAGAAGTTATATATGCAAAGAACATGCTTCACAGTTTGTTTTGCAGTGACTTGTGCCTGCTTGAGTGGTGGGTTATTTTCCAGCAATGTGGACAGTTGCATAAGCAGTTTTACCCTCTTTTCCTGTGTAACGAAGTTCCTTCCTTGGAGAAACCAGATTTTTGGTTTTCCTTATGTTTAGAGTCCTTTTTTTATGCTGTACGATGCCAACTCCTAGGTAACGTGTAATAGTCAGGTTCTTCACCTATCCCAGTATTTATTTATTTGTTCAATATGTTTTTGTGATTTTGACCTGTTTCTTCACCTTTATCCTCTAGGCTATCCTTGGTGCAGGTCATTATGTGTACGCTGATCAACCTGAAGACTTCAATGAGAAAGTGAAAGATATCTGTGATTCTGTGGACTGAGTGTCTTCTGTTCTTTAGAAAGTCATACTGTAGATAGCATTTAATGGCAATACTCTCTAGGAAATCACTAAGGAATGCGGAGCTAATGGAACAGGCTCTGTTTGCACACTGTTTCTTCTAAGAAGCCATTTGCACACCTAAACCACTGAGTGCCTTTTTGGGGGGGATAAAGAGGTTTGAAGCTAACTTTGTGCGGCTTTTTTGAGATTATTGACCTGTCAGATACAAAATTACACGTAACTTTTGAAACTGGAATTTTCTTCAAAATTTAATTGAACTTTCAACATATTGAACTCTCTAAAAATACTGAATTCTCCAATACAGAGAACTGCATCAATATAGATACAGTGGACAAAATGCAATTTGGTTTCTTAATGAGCGTTCATATTTTTTAGGTGATGTTTCATAGCAAGAATATGAAACTACATATGTATTTTATTTTTGGAAGCCAGAGCTCCGTATACAATATTTTAAGAGGGTTTTGGTTTAGTTTTTTCTTTTTTTTTCAATTGGAGTGATAACAGCTTATGAAGCTGATTTTGGGAGTGGGACGGGGCCAAAATAATGAGCAGTGTCTGTCACTGAAATATGTTTGTTAATGTGTTAGAAATTGAGGCTCAATATTAGGAAATTTATCTTCCATTGGATTTTATTTCCATTTATCTCAAGGCATCTTTTTCCATCTGTGCAACTTTTATGGAAGACTCCATTTGTAAGAGTCAATGATGTCACCAGCACTCATGCTTCCATAAATATTTTGATGTGTAGATTTCAGTGATCTAAAACACAAAGAGGCTTGTGAGTTACTCCATCCCTTTTTAACACTCTACTGCAAGATTTGTTACTAGTCTAAACCTAACAATTGTAGATAAGCTGGTAAGATTTTGATTAAGGCTAGGAAATGGCCACCTGGATAGTGAACATGTTTCCCATTTTCATTAGGTAGAAAACCTAGTCCACTTTTTAGTAAATTTGGGCTGAAGGAGAAGCAGAAGGAGAGTACTGATGTTCTCTAATTGGGAACTACATCAGGTTAGTGTATTTTATTTAACATACAGCCTCCTTATAGGAAGGATTATTGCTGAAATGAACAATACCACTGTAACAAATTTTAATTACATGTTTTGGAGATTCTTTATATATTTTAATTGAGTATTTCAATATCAGAGATTGTTCAGTCTCTGCATCTTTTTGAATCCTAGTTTGGCGTTAGTGCTACACGTCTAGTAAATTATATTAAGGAAAATACTTTGTCACTTTAAAGCCAAATTCGGTGATGGTTTGTTTTTTAACAAGTTTACATAAAACTATTGGTCTGTTTTTGAATATTAAATTGACTACTGAACAGTTCTTGATACTTCTATACATAGAGCATTTGAATTAAAGCTTGAATGCAGTTCTGTGCATTTTTTTCTCAAATTAAGGACTTGGTGCACATATTTGTGATGTGGAAAGCAAAGATACCTAAAATATTCAGGAAGTACTTCTATTATGTTCCCAGCTGAACATAATCTCTCTGCTGAAAGAGATATTTATCTATGTGGTGCTATGTAAACATCAGTTTTTGTGACTGCCTTGACTGGTAGCATTTGATATCTAGCAAGCTAAAGATTTTAATTAAGTATTGGGTTAAATTACTTTTTCAATTAGCAGATGCCAGAATTGTAAAACAAAATGTTGGCTTGTTTGCTAAAATCTTGAGTTGACAATGGAAAATCACAATTATCGGTTGCATTTTTTAGTATAAGCTATAAATTATCAGTCATGCCACCATTTAGGTGGATGCCTTCAGCATGGGGTGGGGTTTTTTCGCCCTTTTCAGTGTCTTATTTTGTATTTATCAACCTAAACAGCTGTTTTAGTTATGCATAAAAACCTAATGCAAAAATATATTCTGAGTCTCCTCCAAATAACAAAAGGTAAAACAAACTTTTGGTATTTTTAGATAGCACTTACTGATAGGAATTCTAGATTCCACATCAAAAGTTGGAAGTAGGGGTAAGAATTGCACACTGAATGTGAATGTTGTTTTAAATATCTCTTGCTTTTTCAGCTTATTGTACTAATAAGACTTATTGCTTATGTTTTGCACAATAAAAAATTTTAAATGTTATATTTGATTAATGTTAAGACATGATACTGCTTTTGTAAAAAATACATGCAATTAAGCCCTGGAAATCAAGAGTTAATAATGAGTTAAGTCATCCAAAAATACATTGAAAAACATGGTAATACTTATTTTCAAATGCCTGAATGTTCTGAGGTTTCCTTGTATTTAACTGAAACTAGTAAGTGCTTGTCAACAAGTAGCTGCAAGCGCAGAATGTTGATTGTATGTACATACAAAATGATTCCTGGTTATCTTCCAGGCAGTATTAGATACTGCTGTGAAGGTCAAGGTGGAATTCTGAATCTCCTGTTACGTGCCACATACCTTATCAAGTTACTTTAATAAACATCATAGGAGGTGCTGAGCAGAAAATGAATGGCACATACTGAAAATACTGGGAGCTAGACCTTCTGTGAGCAATTACTGTCTAGGAATAGGCTCCGTTTCTCCAGAGGTTCCTGTGCAATGACCAGTTGCTTAAATGTTGTACCATGGTGAGCACTGAACACTGATGGTACTGTTTTTATTACAGCACTGTAAAATAAGACAAGGATCACAGGTATAAAGGCACCCAAAGATATATCCCATTCTAGCATCAAAATGAAGGCAGCTATGTGCCAGAGGCCAGGGTATAACAAAAAGAATCCAAAATATTAATAAAAATCCAAGATTAACTGCCTGAGTCTCCAGGACACTCTCTTCTTCCTGAGGTTGTTGTGATAAAATTTTATTTAAAGTAACTTAGTAATATTTTGTTTGCATGGCTGAGTTCATCTTGTTACTTATTGAACCCTGCCAGATTAGATTTTAGTTCTGAAAACCTGATTTTCGCAGAACTTATTGATAAGAGTCTGTAATAAAACATTCATGACCATCACGAGGAAGTTTCTGTTTGTATCTGTGAAATGGAAGTGAAGAATATGAATTCATAAGTGTTGAGCTTGGAGAAATGGGTCCAAACAAGAGAAATATTGTCATGTGGTTTCACTCTGGTTGAACCAATGCTGGCATTTCTTTTTAAAAGTTAACTTTTTAAGGTTGCTACAACTGTTTGTGCTGAACTGATGTGCCAGTCTCTGTCTGAAATGCTCTCTGTGGTTCATAGTGGTTCCTCAAATTACCAGCCCTTCCAGATCAGTTATTTAGCATTTTCACTGGGAGTAAAACAATATTAAATACAATAAAAACATCTGGGATTAATGTATGGGCAGACATATTCAGGAATATCTGTTTTGCTAGCATTCATTAAAATGCAAGTTTCCAGAAGCCTAAGGCTAATAGTCAACTGCTGTTGAAATGGGTAATTTCTTGGGGCTCCTCCACGTATCTGTTATTTTGTTTGATTCTTTTACATTGGGCAGTTCGCCGTCGACCCATCCTGCAATGTTTATGCATGGCAGCATACCCATGATGCCGGAAGCCTTCATCTAGGGATTTATGTTTTGTAGGAAACACAAGTGAAACTTGTCAAAGGGTGAGACATTAAAGGTAACTGGAGAGAGACATGTTTTATTGAGACTAGTAAGATTGAAACACAACACACGTGTGTGCAGCAACTGCTTTCTGGTGTTAGTGGCAGTAGATGAAAATGGATGGAGCCTTCAGATTGTGAGGCAGGTGATGGACAGACCAGTACATAGAGCAAAGGCATGTAACTGGAACACACAAGGAACAGTAAGATGAAGGCAGATGAAACCAGCAAAATTCAGCTGAAGAGCTGGGGGGTGGGAACATTTGCTTCCAGAGCCAATTCAGCTCTCAGTGAGGACAAGGGAAATGGTGAGGCAAAGTTCAAGGTGCCTGGGCCATACAGAGAGCAGGGACTGGCAGACAAGGAGTGAAGAATCTGATGTGCCTGGGGTAGGTGTGAAGTTCTGGACTCGAGCAGAAGGTAGCCTGCTGCCAAAGTGCCTGCAAGGAGATGACAAAGCCCCCAGGCAGCCAGTGAAGTGCTAGACTAGTATCTTCTCACATTATTCTTTGTTGTCTCCTTTAAACACAGTGTTTGTCTTAACAACAGCTTTCTTTCTGGGTGCTGGAGCTAGACAGCAAGGTAGCATTTCCATCTCTGAGCTCCCTTCTTTTCAGTTTTATTAGGCTAGCTAAGGCTGCTGCACAGTAACACATCTTACCAAGGTAAGGAGGATGCCTCCAGCGCCAGCTAGAAGGAAGTGTGGCTGGAGAGCTTGGATCTGTGCTAGATGGGGCACTGTAAAGTTTTGGTATCCTTTCTTTGACTAAAGCTTGTGCTCTTAATGCAAATGCTGCTTCCCAAGCTGGACACCATTGCCTCAGACTGGTACACAGACAGGAAACGCTTAAAGGATGGCTGTCCCCTGCAGCACTCAAGAAATCTTGAGAAACTGTATTCTCACAAATCAAAAATGAGCTGATAACAAAGCATGAGGTAGGGGGTCACTGGACTGTCTGAGGTAAGATGAAAAATCAAGATGTACAACAAAGCTTGTCACTAAAGATCATAAATTCATCTTTTACGAGAGGGGTGGAGGGCCTTGGCTCTGTTCCAGTTTGCCTCGTTGCCTTGTGATCGCAGGCATGTTCTACCTTAAGATCTGGCCATGGTCAGTAGAATGAAGAGATATAAAACATGGAAATATTTGCCATGTATG